TCACTACTGGCTGAAGGGGTTCGTGGTGTGTCACGCTGTGCTCGCCCGGCAGTTCCAAGAGGCTCTTGATCAGAGGTCGCTCCCGAGCCTCTTTACTACTGGGGTCACTCATTTGGTTCCTAAAGATCAGGTTACCACAGACCCGAGTAAGTACCGCCCCATTACGTGTCTACCTACCATCTATAAGACACTGACATCTATTCTGAGTATGAGAATCACCCGGCACATTAATGTGAATCGGATTATGTCTCGTACTCAGAATGGATGTCGGGGCGGCGGTCGTGGAACCAAGAAACCGCTTCTCATCGACGCGGTCATTGGTAAAATGGTTAAACGCAACCGTCGGAACCTCTCCGCCGCCTGGATAGACTACAAAAAGGCATTCGACTCGGTGCCCCATACATGGCTAAAGAGGGTCCTCGAACTGTACAAAGTAGACTGTACAGTAAGAGACTTCCTCGAGCACTGTATGGGGCAATGGAGTACGATCCTTTGTCATCTAGGCGAGCGGATGACGGCTGCGGAATACCGGATAAGGATACGACGGGGTATTTTCCAGGGCGACTGTTTGAGTCCAATATGGTTTTGCCTCTCCCTGAATCCTCTCAACGTATTACTGGAGGGCTCGGGGGGAGGATTTCAGCTTCGGAGAGGAGGGACAAAAGTGACCCACCTTTTCTACATGGATGACCTCAAGTTATTCGCCTCCAATCGCTCCCATTTGATGGAATTGCTTAAAGTCACTTGTGATTTCAGCAATTCTATCAAAATGGAGCTCGGGACGGATAAGTGTGCGGTCCTTCATGTCGAAAGGGGTAAGGTCACTAATACGGCGGGCATAGACTTATCTATGCCCGTTAACATAAGGACCCTCTCTGAGGCTGAAACATACCGATACCTGGGTGTGTCACAAAATATGTGTATCGATGAGGCTGGCATGAAACAGTCAGTTCGTGACGTGTTTTTTGCACGCCTGACAAAGGTGTTTAATAGCCATTTGTCAGGCGGGAACAAGGCACGTGCTTTTAACGGCTGGGTCATGCCAGTCCTCATGTATACCTTTGGCATACTCAGGTGGACTCAAACTGAGCTCAACGCCCTGGACCGAAAAGTCCGCACAACTATGACGTCCCACAGAATGCATCATCCGAGATCGTCAGTGATGAGGCTGTACCTTCCGCGGAAGCATGGCGGGAGGGGCTTTTTAAGCGCCCTCACCATGCACAATCGCGAGGTGTGCAGCCTCCGTAACTACTTTCTGGCGAGATCGGATGAGTCAATCTACACGGACGTCATTAGTTGTGATAAAGGACTTACCCCTCTATCCTTAGCCAACGAGCAATGGCAGGACCCGGGAGAACTGAGCGTTTCCGACCGAGAGGCTGTATGGAAGGAGAAAGAGCTCCACGGGAGGTTCTACAAGGCTCTACACGAGCCTTTCGTAGATACTGTTGCCTCCCTGAACTGGCTACGTTTCGGTGACCTCTTTGGGGAAACCGAAGGTTTTGTCTGTGCGATACAGGATCAGGTTATTAAGACGAACAACTATAGGAGATACATCCTAAAGGATGGCACCGTCGACATCTGTCGAGCTTGTCGCCATCCCGGGGAGTCGCTTCGGCATGTTATCTCCGGTTGTTCCATGCTTTCTAACTCTGAGTATCTGCATAGACACAACCTAGTAGCCAGAATACTACACCAGGAGCTCGCTCTGAAATACGGCCTCGAGGAACGGAAACTGCCGTATTATAAGTACTCTCCGGAGGCCGTGCTCGAAAATGACCGCGCCAGGCTCTATTGGGACCGGTCCATCATCACAGACAGGACAATTGTCACGAACAAACCTGATATCGTGTTGATGGACCGGGCACAGTCGCGGGTATTTTTGGTCGACATTACCATTCCATATGACGAGAACCTCGTGAAAGCCGAAACAGATAAGAAGACGAAGTATCTGGACCTGGCTCACGAGGTGACCGACATGTGGGGTGGTGTGCCGACCGAAATTATCCCGATAGTCGTGTCTGCGAATGGGTTGATCCCAGTCAGCCTCTCTAAACATCTGAGGCGACTGGGACTCCGGGACGGATCGCTCCAGGCTCAAATGCAGAAGGCGGTGCTCCTCGATACCGCCCGCATCGTCCACCGGTTTCTCTCCCTTTCGCCCTAACCCTCGGCCGTTTGGTCTCCCCTGCCGAGGGCTTCCGTCTGGTTGGGTCCTATTTATATATGTATTATATAAAATATTTATTTATATATATATATATATATATATATATATATATGTTTATTTTTATCCATAATATTTATTTTATATATGCAATATATATCTATATCTTTATTTTTATTTATTATTTATAAACCCAACCAGACGAGAAAACAAATGAATATCCCCCCAATAATAATAATATAAACCCAACCAGACGAGAAAACAAATGAATATCACCCCACAATAATAATAATATATATATATATATATATAAATATTTTTTTTTTCGAAGATGTGTAAAGTCCGCCAATCCGCAGTGGGGCCGCGTGGTGGACTATGCCCTGATACCCTATGTATAGGGGAGGCCTTTGCCTAGCAGTGGGACATGTATAGGCTGTTATTTTACTTTTACTTTATGAGTGTACGGACGGAATACATTAGCCTTCTCCAGTATTAGTAGGTGAACCAGGGAAATCAGGTGAGGTGGGCCGGAGCGCTGTCCGACGAGTACTGGATGGAATGCTGTATTAGGAAGCTCGACAGTGCTTTTTAATTTATGCTAGCCCCAGCTTCGCACCGGTGCAATGTATTATACATATAAAGCTTCCTCTTGAATCACTCTATCTAGTAAAAAAAAACACACACAAAAAACACAGTAAAAAAAACACATCAAGATTCGTTGCGTAGTTTTAAAGATCTAAGCATACATAGGGACAGACAGACAGCGGGATGACTTAGTTTTATACTATGTAGTGATGTTAATCAGTTTATCGAGCGGCTAAGCAGCAATCATGTCACATAGACGCTACCTGTGTCAATAATATTAGTTACGCCTATGACATGGTGCTGCTTAGTTCCCTTAGTTTGGGAACCAAACTAAAGGAACTGAGCAGCACCATCAAAAACCAAAAATGTAGATAGGGAGCCCAGGGCGTTGGCAGAGAGGAGCAATATCGTAATAATATAGCGAATCTTCGGGCAACCGATGATTCGCTTGTTGTAATGCGGGTGTCAAGGTTACTTATTTCAGGCATTTTGTCACTCGTACTTCAGCGGTCTTTGAGTGTCATATTCGCGCCGAACCTTCAATTCTCTGCGAGTGCAATACAACAACGCTTTCAGGATGCTGATGGGACTGACGTCGTGACGCTGCAGCACGTCTCAAATGTTTGCTGATGGATTCGACGCCACTATGCGTAGAACAGCGCCTACGTACTACTCTACTTCACGCCCGTCTTCTGTGAGGTCGAGCTACTAACCCGGACAGACCTGCCCATTCGTGCAACAGCGAAAACTGATGCGTGGCCCTACCATAGTAATTATTACCACAGACATTGCAATGATAAGTAATAGTAATCATCATTATCATCATTATCTTCGTATGTTTTATGTCCACTGCTGACCATAGGGCGCATCCACAGACTGCCACGAAACACGATGCTGAGCCACATGCATCCATCGACTTCCCGTGTATTTACGTAGGTCATCACTGCATCTACTGAGTGGTCGTCCAACACTGCGGTGGCCAATACAAGCCTGTCACTCAAGAAACTTTCTTCCTGATCGATTATCGGTTCTATATCGGCCATTGCCGCTAATTGTAAATAATTTTCATAAAAATTATAAGTTTTGGCCATAGAATTCTTGATGTAATTGTGTGATTATCGAAATCGTGAAGTTTAAATAAACTTTGATGAATATAAGTAAGTCATATTTGAGCAAAATTAAAACATCTTTATTTTATCTCAAATATTGGCAAGTGAGTAGACGGTATATCCTACATCTACAATCTGAGTGATTTCAGATGGGCCCTGGCTACTTTCTCAATGAACACGAATGTATAGAATACTTCCACTTCACGCCGGTCTTCTGCGAGGTCGTATTATTTCCCCGGGATGAGCCTGCCTATTCATGCCACAGTAGAAGCTTCTGTGTCGTGTCAGTATCAGGATAATTTTAACATTCTTTAAATTTTTGTTTTAAATTATGCTTTACATAGTTTTCCTTTATTTAATTATCAATATAGAAATATCACAGTAAAATACATATAATAACAACATTTCTTCAACATTATTTTTTTTTATTCATGACATATCAACATATACTCAACAACATAAAACAAATTTTACAACTTTTTCTACTCGTTTTTAAATTTTTAATGAACGAAACTCCTGCCAAGCCAATAATACAGTCCAGCTTTTAATTGAACACAACACATATTGCTTACTCAACTCTCATATTTTTAACCATTTCTTTAAGCTTATTCCTATTCACCTTAGAACTGGAAGTTAAGGGAAGCTCTTTCATAAATATCACCCCCCCTCTCAGTTGTTTGGAATCCGATAATGATTCTGGAAACATTTGAAAATGATTACAAGACCGCTCATAAATGCGCCCGGGATAAACACATATGTCTACTCCTTAATACAACACAATGTTTTAAAATTAACGAAAAACTAGGTTATGTTGTTTTTTTTTACTAATTATGATATTTTTGTAACAAGCTTTCAAACTAGGTAGTTTGGACAGATAAAAACAAGGGCGTCATTCCGTTAAGTGAGGCTTTTAAGTACCTAAAGGTCGCGGATCAGACACCATGTCATTTATGTAACGTGTGATAAAATGTTAGGCGTCAATGGGGCTCGAACCTGAAAGGTCTCAAGTCCGTTGTCAACCCAAACACCGCCACTGCTTTGAATCGATTTGAGTATTAATTTGTCCGTATCTCTTTCGTAGTACAAATTATTTTGCTTTGATTCTTAAATTGTTTCAAGCATAAAGTGATTCTTTAGGACTCACCTTTTACTATGTCCTTTATTTCTTGGGCAGTCACTGGGTAATTTTCGTGGGGCACAACACATGCGACTGGTAGCTCACCACATTCATAGTCGGCGATTCCAGTCACTGCGACGTCTTGCACGCCCGGATGCTTTAGTATGGTGGATTCGATTTCTATAGGTGATATCTGAAATAGAAAGGTAACACTACTCTCTAAATAAAATCTTTAAATAAAAGCGGGGCAAAGATGTTTTGACACAAATCTTATTTTTAAACTAGCAAATCACTTGGCTACTTTAAATTTTATTTAATTTTAATGAACTTTCGGCATAAAGTTCATTAGAACTTGAAATCCGTATCGAGTTAAGAAAATGGGAGGTATGTACTCATTATCTTTGAATAAAGCCTGTAATAAGCCTAAATGTGTGCAGAGAAATTATTTATGATAAATGAAAATTTTAACTACCTGGTGGTTGCGATATTTTAGAAGTAGTTTTAATCGGTCGACGAAGTAGTATTTGCAGTTCTCGTCTACATATAAAATGTCACCTGATTTAATCCATTTGTCTTCCGTATAAATTTCTGCCGTTGCTTTGGGGTTATTGTGATATCCCTAAAATTAAAGGTCTCAACTAAAGTTAAGAAAACAATAAGTTTATTTGCGCCAAGATATTTCGCTATTATGTGCACGTTATTTAACATCATTTACTAAATGTGCAGCTTAGATATGTTATCCGGGCCGGCATTGTATGAAATTATATTTATATATAATTTTATCTGTCCCAAAAAATACATAACTAAATATGGGCATTCGGATTAAGCTGCGTATCATTGATGATTTTAAATGTACGTTTTCTTTTTAGTTTACACTTTTTTTGCTTATTTTTTCAACACTATGAGAAAGCTCTTTAATTCACTCACATTCTCCAAACAGATAAAAAGTATATTAAATGAAATTTATACCTTAAAAGCTGTTGGTCCTTTTATCCAGAGCTCTCCAGGCTTGTTATGTTCCACTACTTGTCCTGTCGCCGGATCTACTAACTTGAATGAGTAAAATTATTATCTATCTTTAATAAAACTTCTCTACTTATCTTCTCTAATATTACACAATTCGTAAATAAATCTAGATATTTTCTTTAGCAAATAGATGTTTAGATACTCACTCGATATTGAAAGTTCCCAAGGGGCCCACCACAAGAGTCTGGCGTAGAATAAACAGGGTTGAATACAACAGTTGCTACTTCTGTCATTCCATATCCAATAAAAGCAGATACTTTAGGTAGAATCTTCTGTAAAGCGTTCGTGGGCGTTATATGATGACAATGTTGTACAGAAATAAAAGATTATATTATTTTTAATTTATATTGATAATTAATCAAAACATAGGATTATCTATTTTAATTGGCGTAAGATGATACGATTATTACTCAAGTTTCGAAGTGCATGGATGGAAACGAATGACGAAACATGGCTATGGGTTTTAATTACGTTCAATAACAGACTAATTCATCTTTATAATAATATAATGAAATTTAAGAAGCAGTACTTATGAAATACACTGAAGTAAACTATAAGTACTTGTTCATAGACACTGAGGCGCAAGTTGCGCTGAATATTAAATCACACTCGCCTTTTAGTGGACGGTATGAATTTTGTTATTTAAAATCTTTTTCATGAATGACACTAGAGTGTTCGTCTGTGATTACCAAATGCTTTTTTCAAGGTCATTGAGGTTTATTCGCACATTAACAAAGAGCCACAATATAACATGGGTTTTAATCATTTCCCTGTATCATTTAAATTCGTAGAAAAAATGGACGTAAAGATTTTCGAATCCACTTCTTCAAACGCTTTAACCACTAAGCTAAACGGCTGATTTCCACACCAACCTCAACGTATTGTATCTACATTGGTTTTGGAATTTAGCGCAATGCTTGGCGCATCTATTGTTAAATCCTTTACAGCATATAAAAATTTAAATTTCAAGTGTTTCATCTTAAGTGCAGAGATTAGCACTATAAAAAGTTTTATTTATGTGTTTGTTTGTCTCTTTCTTTTTATCCAGAGCAAAGTCGAGCTTTATGAGACTCATTATTATGTAGAGTTTTCGTAGATTAATCTAAATTGCTTTTTATCTCAGAAATGTTCTGGGTTTCAGTGTTGAAACTTGAAAAAATTAAAAATAATGGATAAAATAAGAGATCTGTGGGCGGATGCGATACTTACATGCACTGTTTCTAAGAGTGTCCTTGGTACAGCACTGCCTGCTAGTAAAATTATTTTGAAACAATTAAAGTCACACCTCTCACGGTCTCCTGGTTTTAGTAACGATGCCATTGTATTAGGACTGACCATCATAAATGAAGGCTGAAATAAGGGATTTATCAAATGTTACCTAAAGATTGTAAGTTTTCTTTTCAAGCGAAATCAAAAGAAGAGGAGATTCTTAATTCAGTTGTTATTTTTTGTGTTTGTTAATACAGAAATCGGTCATCTATGATTCGATTTTAAAAAATTATTCTTGCACTGGGTTTGGTTAAGCTCCCATTTGGTTCCATGTTAATTTCATTTATATTAGACTTTGGATCGCTGAGATAAACTGAATAGAAAATTTATCCTGAGTGAGACCTTTATTCTGAAGTCTGTTTTGTTTGTATGTACCTAAAACTTCGAGACATAATAGTTGGTAGCTAATATCGGCACAGATCATTTTTATTCGTGAAATATATCATGGCGCGAATTCAAATATTACGATATTTAAACGATATTAAATTTCTACTTATATGAATAGAAAAAAGTATCAATAGAAAAATACAATTTCATTAAAACCTTGTATATGTTGATTAGGGAATAAATATGCTCCGTTGTGGATGGCAGTGAGCTTTGAATTCTGGTGTATCGTAAAATAGGTGATAAAACGAAACTGCTCGTTGCCGAGACCCACTGGATAGGTGAAACGACTAGAGCACTTTCGACCGGCGTAGGGAAGTTCCAGCAGGTAATCCTAAAACACAATATGACCGATAGAGGCTGTTCTTGATTCCACAATGTATGAAAATATCAATAATGAATACGGTACTATAATAATATGATATTAAGTTATTTTATAAAACCTTATTTGCAATGTAATAAAATAGGCGGGATTTAGGTAATAAGTTAATAAGTTTTACATTAGTGCGTCCATCTGCTAGTTTTGTTAATACGTAAATGTAAAAAATATATTTTTAATATCTTTTAACTTAGTAAAGTAACAGCCTATACATGTCTCACTGCTGGGCTAAGGCCTCCTCTGTACAAAACCCTCTGGTTATCAGGGCTTAGTCCACCTCGCGGACCCACTGCGGATTGGCGGACTTACGATAATAACTTAGTATTTCTTGAGAATAGCAGTGATTAGTTCGAAGTATATTATGTTTAAAAATAAAAAAAAATATTTTACAAAAACGTTTTGTGTTGTTTAATAATTACCATAGATACGGCCAACCTATCATTAGGTTTTTATGAGTGAGCGCCGCACATTTGGGTACTCCAGTAGTGCCACTAGTTGAAATTAATAACGCAATTGTATCTTCAGTGTCAAAATTAGCAGACCTGTAAATTGAAATATAATATAACATGCGATCGAAATATATAAAAATGTTTAAACCATGTTAATATACGGTATATAATATGGCATTGACCACATGTTTCAATTAATTTAAATTATAAAAGAAGTAAGTCGATAAATAAATACAATTTTTAAGTAAGGCAGAAAGATGATTTGTTATAAAAACTATGTAATAATATGGATACGTACTCAAACTTCTCGACGGGCGTGTTGTCTCCATACTTTTCAAGAAAATCAGAGAAATCGCAATTGTTTGTCCCTTTGTCGAACGCTACGATTATAACATCAAGGTTCAATTTTTTAGCCGCTTCTTGAGCTTCGTTTTCTTTCTCACTTTGGCAAAAAACCAATTTTGGATTGCAAATTTGGAATGTATCTTGTTGTTCCTCTAAAAAAATAAATGGTTTTATTTATATTTTTTATAAGCTATTAAAAAATATTTTTTCAATAATTGTATTTAATTTGTATTTCTATTTTCTTCCGTAGTATAATGTCTGCTTGCATTTCTTCATGCTTATGTTTTATATAGTCCTATCTGGACTAAATATTCATTTCACGTCTATATTTTCGGTTCTCTTTTCTTGTGAGTTGTGACTATTGAAAATAGCAAACATCAATGCAAAAAAAATTGTCAAAAAAATCTTTTGATGGCGCTTTTTGCGGACGACGTGGTTGATTATAGTTGATTAGGAAGCAGATTATTTTATTATTTCGTGAATAATTGAAAATTATAATAAGTAGAGTACTAATTTATTAATATTAGTTCTTATACATTATCAACGCTGCTACATTGATATAAATGTACGAATACATGCAGGTTTCGTCACAATATTTTCTTTTTACGGCTGAGCACGTGATAATTCAGCAATTTCATTCAAGAGCAGTAGTAAAATAACTCCTGTTTCTTGATTTGATTTAAATTAAATAAGTGTTGATGTTTGATTGAAAAACAAAATAGTTATTATATATCTAATATATAAAATTCTCGTGTCACAGTTTTCGTTGTCATACTCCTCCGAAACGGCTTGACCGATTTTGATGAAATTTTTTGTGCTTATCCGGTATCTATGAGAATCGGCCAACATCTATTTTTCATCCCCCTAAATGTTAGGGGTAGTCCACCCCTAAATTTTTTTTTTATTTTTTAGACAAAATTTTTTGTTTTTATTTTTTTATGACACAGCATACAAAAATACATACAACCCTAAATTTTCACCCCTCTACGCAGACGTAGTCGCGGGCAGCAGCTAGTATTTAATATAAAGCTATATTTATATTATATATAAATATATTAAATTAATGTAACATATATAAATGTTATATTAATTTAATATAATTATATTTATAAGAACAGTCTCGCTCTACCCCGATCAAAGTTCAGGGCGATCAATCTGAAAGGAATGTCTGAGGATGACGCAAAACTTACTTATCTCATAAATCATATCGTAAAGAAAGTGATTTTTGCAGTGAAATTAATAAAAAGTCATCAGGATCGAAGGCCCTTCCTTTGAGGACATGTCGTGAGCTTCATATATTCACGTGTGATTTAATTATAATAAATAAAATAAAAAAAAGTACATAATATAACCTTAACGCTTAAATATATACTAGTGATGCAATATACAGTCCGGTAAGATTACTGGACAGCATATTGCATCCAGCCCATCCACTTCCAGGTTTAGAATTCAATGCATCTGCATTGAATTCTTGGAAACAATAAGAACTTACTTATTCCTAATGTGGGGTCCATACAGGCCACGGTTATCCCTAAATAGAATGCGGCGTACATAGGTATCGTAAGGTCTAGGTGATTTGGACCGCTTAGTACTATGACATCATTTGTTTTCAAGCCTAAAGCTCGAAACGCAGTCGCGCATCTAATTGATCTCTCTAATGCCGATTGAAATGTTTCAGATTCACCGGTTGCACCATCAATCTGCAAAAATATGAAAACAATTTAAATTCCTATTTCGGTCACGCGTAGAATTGTGACATGCGGTCGTATTTTTTTTAATTAAATGTGCTATACTAGACGTACGTACACATGTAAACCATTCCTAAAATGCAATAAGAATAAAGTACATAACTCGTCGAGAATTTCGTGCGGTGAGGCGTAAACGGCATTTACTTAGTGGCTAAAGCGCCCGGACTCGTCGTTCGTAGTGCAGGTTCGAATCCTAAGGTTTCGTTAAAATTTTCAGCTAAAATTCCGTAAATGACGCAAAAAAGTCCGTAAATTACTTTTATTTAACCAGGTTTAACAATTCATTGGTTTTCTATATGTAATAGATTTATTAAGTACTAAGCCGTGCGACCTAGTATCTCGTAAAAAATTACTGAAAAACATGAATACTTATTTCCCTTTTTGGTTAACTTATTAGATCTAATGGAATGCTCACTAAGAAATCATGACTGTACCTGCAGAATATGTTCAGGTGCATCTTTAAAACTTTGTATTGTAAGTTTTCCAATGTGAAATCTGTCGGACGCAATCCCCGACTTGGCAACCACGCGGCATCCCAAATCGTTCATGAACCAATGAACAGCGTCGCTATGTTGCTTCAGAGAACCCATTTTTCTGAAATGAAAGTGTTACCTAATAAAAGTTGTCTTAAAGTATTTTTTTTCACAAGTTGCATTTTATTTTTCTACAAGCAGTAGATATTTTAGTGGTTTTTTTTCTGGAACTGTGGATTCCGTACAATCTTATAGGTATGTAAATAGTTCGTCCATTACGAGAATCGAGTCTCAAAGGTTTTTCCTCTTTTACAATCTCGAAATTATTAATCAAACGAAGCAATGTCAAATTGCCAGCAATAAAAAGACTCATTCTGACTCCGCTCATTCTTTTAGTCAAATATTTCGCACTTTTATTTAATTAATTACCTATATTTTAAATGCGTGACATAATCCATAAATCAATGAATAAAGGCGATATTCCTCAATTAATACGTAATAAGTACTTATAATAATTTATGTAATTAGGCAATTTTACAGCTTCATTGACCAAAGTAGACGTTGACACTATCAACGTAAGTTTTACACACTTATTATACGATTTTTTTATTATTTTATTTTCACTACAATGGGATTAGCATAAACTCAGTGATTATTCATCATTTAATTTAAATGATAAATATAAACCAAATTAGGGTAAAGGTTGGCTAAATGGTGATATATAGCAATATGGTGATAATTTTGCTTTCAACGGTCTTTATAATGCCCAGCGCGAGTTTTGCGTTCATTCAATGAACTGAAGGCGAGTATGTTCATCTCTCTTTCATTTGGCCGCTGGTCGCTGTCCTCACCGGACGCGGTTTATTTGTTTCGCGCCAAAATATGCGAAAAAATGGAGGATAATCGGTACGTAAATATCACCAAATTACGAAAAACATTACATAGCTTATTTTTATTTTATTTCAAGCTTAATTTGAATGGGGTTTTCAGGGTAGATGATGCTCGAAATGTATCTTTCTGTTAAAAAAAATATCGGGTTGTGTTTCATTAGTCCGGGTTATAGTCTTACGTATTGGATGATTTTACTTACAGGAACAAGTCCGGAAAGGCAAATAAAAGGAAAATGAAGGGCGAGAAACGCAGAAATTATGACTCTTCACGCTTCAAGGAGGCTTATATGAAAGTTATAAATGATAATTGGTCAGTGTACAAGGCGTCGAAGGAATATGGCATACCGTGGTCTACTTTGAGAAGACACATAGCTACTCATGGAGGTGAAAGTTTCGACTTACCTAAACTTGGGAGACCATTCACATTAGACAGTATAACACGACCTTGAATGTAAGTTTGTTTCCCACATAATTAAAATGCAAGAACTAGGATTTGGTCTCAGCGTCACAGACATCAAAGCTAAATGTTACGCTTTAGGAGTCCAAGCAGGAAAAGATCACCAGTTTAACGATGCTAAACGTAAAGCTGGGCCTTATTGGTGGTGGTCGTTTAAAGAACGGTACGGGCTTTCATTGCGCACGCCAGAAAAGCTTGCAGCATGCCGAGCTGTTACTGCTAACAGACAAAACATTGACGATTTTTATAAAAAGCTACTGGACGTCGTTATTGAGCTGGATATTCTGCAAAAGCCTGAAAGGATTTATAACTGCGACGAAACCGGTGTAACGTTCGTCGTAAAACCGTCAAAAATTGTCACTCAAACTGGAAAGAAGGTAATTTACAGTAGAACTTTTGCAGAGAAAGGTGTCACACAAACGGTGCTTGGGTGCTGTAGTGCGAGCGGAGCGTCTGTACCCCCTTGATCATTTTTAAAGGTGTCCGAATGGTCAATGATCTAGCGAATGGTGCTCCGGAAGGGTCTATCGTGAGATTATCCAAAAACGGATGGATTAACTCTGAACTATTTCTGGAGTGGATGCATCATTTTGAAGCTCATATTCCACCAGCTAGACTGGTACTTTTAATCATGGATTCTCACTCTACCCATGTCAGCCAAGATGTTATAGATTTCGCTACAAAAAATGGCATTCATCTATTCACTTTTCCAAGTCACACAAGCCATCTCCTGCAACCTCTGGACGTTTCTGTTTACAAGTCACTGAAAAATGCATGGGCTAAAGTGCTAAATGATTATAAGCTTCAACATCCAACGAGTGCTCCAACAAGGCTAGACTTTTATCGCCTATTAACACCAGCCTACGAGCATGCATTTCAGCCGTCAATAATTATGAACGGCTTTCGAAAAACTGGCATTGCGCCATTTGATCGAAATGCCATTTCTGATGAAAGTATTGCCCCATCATTGATGCAGCCACGTGACCTGCAGTCACAGAATATTGAATCTTCCACTGATAATGCCCAAGCTTCTGCTGTCAATCGTGAAACTGCGTCACCTTCAGTTTTCTCTTTACTTTCCGTTCCTGAGGTACCACAGTCTTCTTCTTCTAGTACCCGACGAGCTAAGCGGAATCCACAGGCCCGATATTTAACACCTCAAAGCACGAACAACATGGACAGTCCTGAAGAAAACATCGTCGCCATATCAAACGAAACCACAGTCGCCGTTACCAGTGAGGAGACCGTTACCTCGATTCGTGTCCCCTCTGCTTCTCCAACTCCTGGACCTTCAACTGAAAGCAACCTGAAGCGTAAACTACCAAGAGTCAAGGTAGAGAAAACACCAAAATCAAATAAAAGTACGATGTGTGACTATTGCGGTGTTCACTACTCCCAACTGGCACTTAGGAACGGAGCTGTATGGGTAGAGTGCATGAGCTGCGGCAAATGGTACCACCAAGAATGTATGATGACAGTGATTGGGCTGCTGAATAGACTTGTCACCATATTGCCACATATGGTATCACCAAATTGCCCCCGTATCTCCATATTGCCAACACCAAAAAGATTTGTTTGATCTGATTTTCCTAATAATGTTTAAGAATTTAAGTTGCTGTGATTAATAATTATTGAAAAGAAAAGTCTGATTATTGTAATAAGTAAAGAGGTTTTCTAATAAATGTTAATTTTGATATAAAATTTTAAGTTTTTTTCTTATTATCACCATAAAGCCAACCTTTACCCTACTTGTTATCTAACAAACCTAACCCACGCAGCATGGTGAATGTTTTCCTCGCTGAATAGTTAACCATTGAGCTAGAAAAGAAGCAGCCCGCTTGTAAATAGGAGCAGCGATTAGTCCAGTAACTTAATCTATTAAATTTTATAGTGCGGGGACATCACGGACCTGCGGTTTTAACAGCAAATGGCACAAAAACATAATCTTCAGGAAGAGAATCATATTTGCGCCATAGTTCGCGAGTAGCATCCCAAACGAGGGCTTTGCCTTTTTTGGTCTATTGCCACTCTAGACTCCCACAACTAGATTGCGTAGAATAAGTAATTCTTTTATGGGACTATGTACGTATTTACAACAAAATCTCAGGAAACGTTCACAATGTCTTGAGAATGTGAATTTATATAGAAAAATAAAACACTTTCCAAAAAAAGAATTCTTACTTACCTTAACTTGTCTTGGTGCTCGCTTCGTTCTCTCTTTTTACCTCTCAGTATTTCAGCTATAGTCTTGTTTGATTTGAATAAATGAATTTGTTAGTTTTTTGTAACACAACACTATTTCAAAAGAAAAATTCCCCATTCAAAGCCAAATGAATATTTACGAAACAATTTGTCAAAAAAAAAACGCAAGTGAATTACTTGTATTAGTAACAATTGCAAAGACAACAGTTTATAATCCCCCCATTACATCTGATGGCGTTCTTGTAGGGTTTTCCGTGAAACCTTGCTCAACCCAAACAGTGTATGACAGTCTTCACTGTCGGTTTTTTTAATGTAAATAATATCAAAGGCGCTGTGTATGTGTGCGGGGGGGGGGGGGGGGGGGGGTGAAATAGGGGAAGCGGGGGACGAGCGGCCCCACCGTCTGCAGAACGCACCGTGTGAATTTTTGCAGACGCGCGACGTTCATTAACTAATAGAGTTCGGACACTAAATAGAATTATCTAGGTATGATAATCGTAGTAAAATATGTCCATACATTATAAATGAAGAAGAGATTTAAAATAAACGTTACATAGCAAGGTTAGTTAGTAATTTTTATTTATTTATTTATTTTAGATTACAAAGAAAATTACACGTACGCAGAGTTAAATAAACACAAATTTTATGGCAACAATTTACACGTCATCTCAATTATAGGTAGTCACAGCATTCAACAAGAGTAGGTATTGTACGTTGTGTTGTATGTCGTACTCATGGTATAATTATTATTATTAACTAAAACTTGATTTAAGCTATTATTATTATTATTAACTAAAAGTTAAGTGTAAAAATCGGTCGGTAATTTCTCTGCAGGAAGTTAATAAATAGAACCATTATTTCGTAAATAAAAGGATAATACGCATTTTTATTTCAAAAAAATATTAAAATAGAATAAAACCTTCATAAATATCAAGAAATATAAATAAAATTCGTATACAAATAGCTGTCGATCGAGCCGAAGTCTAGCCCTCTTCCTCATACTCTGAGCGGAATGCTAAACGGGTACTGAGTGACAGCCCAAGCCGAGGTGCACTCTTAGGGGCCCTTGAGCCTAGTTCTCAATATATAAGTGTATAATCTATGGCCTAATTACTACATGGAGCGTCAAACTAATAATAACGCGACAGCCCGAGCCGAGACTCCTTCGGCCTTTGTCATCCATAATCGAGGGTTCAAGCTAGGCCACCCTCAGTCCCCGGCAAGCTCAAGCCTGGTGGATTGGATCTATAAAGGCATCCCAAGGCCAACAGTGTTTGATCCAGCCAAAAAAAGAAGAAAAAAATCAGTTACTGTGATTTAATAGTGATTAATAAGTTTCAATGTGTTTACTACTTTATCGAAACTATCTGATTAAAACAACTCTATCTTATCAGTATTATTATTGAAACAAAATCACCACGTCCAGTATCATGCGGGCAATCTTATTTCAAAACTCTGATTTAAAGACAAAAACTGTTATCGATAATGTTCGTGTGTAAAATTGGAATTATGATTATCTATTCACATGATCGTTTTAGTTAGATAGATGAGTATGACAAAAATTTTCACTATCTGTAAGATATAAAAGAAGTTGCTTAGGTTTTTATAACAAAAATAAGTGATTTAATAAAGCGTTTAATATGGCTTATTACTTCAAATGTTATAATGTATTTACCTTGTTTCATTACATGCCCCTTTTAGAACTTATGGGCACTTTGGGGCAATTCTAATTGCATTACAAAATTAGGGTATTAAGACAAATGTGTATACATTTGTCTTCTTAATACCCTAATGTCAAGATGTAATGGATTAGTTGAAAGTGGAGCTTTAAATATTGTGAAAGGCGATTTATTTTTGTTTTATAACAACGATGCTATTTGAATGTCACTGTATGACCCTATGAAACCGGTTTCCAAAGTAAGTTCGTTTTCAAGAAAAACGTGTATGTGACAGTTGTGACAAAAAATAAAATAGGATTTTTCATTATTTTACAGTCACACGTTTCTTAGATAGTCGCTAAGGTTATCCCCATTTTTTAAGCGATTCATTAATATTTTTGGTGAAGTAATGTTTTAATGTGATCCTTCAGATAAAAGGCTGATTACCAATGATATTATATACAAAGACTAGCGACCTGCCCCGGCTTCGCACGGGTGCAAAGTATTATACATATAAACCTTCCTCTTGAATCACTCTATTTAGTAAAAAAACCGCATCATGATCCGTTGCGTAGTTTTAAAGATCTAAGCGTACATAGGGACAGACAGACAGTTGGATGACTTTTTTAATACTATGTACTCAAATTACACCAATTGGTGTTTAAAATTGCAATTCTATATAGTAGAATATCCGAATCTAAATCGACCTTCACCGAGCTAATAATAGAATAAAATTTATTTTATAATAAATTTAGTAAATATATTAAAATAAATTTTATTCTATTATTAGCTCGGTGAAAGTCGATTTAGATTCGGATCTTACACCAATAGAAATTCTTTCCGTACCATATGTTCTATATCATCTGTCACATCCACTTATATTATAATATGTGAAATAATGTAAAGCGAAACAATTTTTAAACGCCGCGTGAATATGATACGAATGTGAATGTGCCGCGTGTGGACGTGCTTCATCTATATTATTAAACGTCATTGCTGATTACTATATTGCACCATCCGTGCAGTTATCATTTATTGTACACTTAATTCTTTTATGTTTCAAATTATAAAAAAATCTTTGCAGCGACGATAAAATTCACTGATAAAGAGCGATACTAAAAACCTTGTGGCTATTTAAAGGAAATTTCCACTGTATAACATTGTAAAACATTGAGTTTTTTGTTAGTGTACTTGACAATCATATTGGCTACAGATAAATTGCAAATACCACAATAAACCTCCAAGGGGCTTATAAGTAATTACACTTTAATATTAAATGTTAAAAGGCGTATAAATCGCGTAATTGAGGATACCTAATACAAATGTGAAAAGAACAATTGTTAAAGTTCCGATCGTTTTATCAAGCCGGAAGCACGACAAATAAGTAATAAATAATCAACAGATATGATGAAATGCCACAACCGAATATCTATACAGTATTTGTTAAACCAGTGAAGTCCACAATGTCATTAAAAAAGTAATTAAACCAAAGTAGTTCTCTGGTCTCTACAAAGTAAGATATTTACTAATAAATCATTTAATTTTGTAGAAGTGAATTCTCAAACAGTCTAAACCTAATTAAAAAGATACATTAAAACATATGTAATTTTAACGTTAACGACTAAATCATTTGGTAGTACCTAATATTAGTATGAAACATAAGTAACATATTTACAGACAGAAAGACAGACAGACAGACGGACGGAAAAAATATATCATCATAAAAATATCTCATCATGTATAATTATTAAAACGTACTTGGCACAAAGACACTACCGGTTATCGGATTTGGAAAATCGCTAATCCTGTAAGGCCTGATCGGGATAATCGGAAAAACTATTTAAATTATTACATTGACATCGGTCCTTGATAAATGTGCATAGTTTCAATTTAATAAGACGTTTTGAAGCGGATCAAAATCACGTTCGAAATAATATACCAAGCTAATAAAAGCGTGTTATTAGCAATGTAGTACTTACGTGTTATCCTGCGAACGAAGTTACAAACCGCTATTTAACGTCTTTGAGGCTCAGATCTCTAGGGCTACAACTAGAAACTGGTTATGTTTCTATTTAAGCGTACTGACGTACGTATGACAATATTACAATCTTATCCTTTAAACGAGCAATTCTACGAGCATATATATATATATATATATATATATGTAATCGGAATCTCGGAAACGGCTCCAGCGATTTTCATAAAATTTAGTATGTGCGTAGATTCGAGGGCGAAAAATCGATCTAGCTAGGTTTCATTTTTAGAAAATGTCCTTTTATCCCTGTTTTCAGGGAATGAAAAATATAATTCGAATATGACGGTAAATTTCGCCGCAAGAGAAAATGTCATAATAGCTCGGTCGGTAATCGGGCAGCCCCAAAACAAGACGGCCGTGGTTCGCGTCACGATCAATTTACACATTTATTTTTTTACTTTTTTTTCGATTCCAGATCATAGCTTTCTTTATTTTTAAGTTTTTGTTTATTTGTTATTTTGTTATTTTTTCCATATCGTATCTAAATGTAATTTCCAAAATATACGATTTAGAAAAAAAAACAAACCTCCTCCGGGTACTTGTTAATTTAACTGCCATGAGAGAAGTCGCACATAAAATTATCAGATTAACATTAAATGAAGGATGCAAGCGAGTGATGTCAGACTTCGATTTAGATTATTTCACGAAACTCGAGTAGTTTGAGAGCTAGCGGTTTAAAATTCTAGCATCCAAGCAGACAAGCTCGTTCAAAAGAGATTATACTCAACGACTGTTACATTGATCCTATCTGAGGGCCAGTTATATACCTTTCTAAGGGGTACTTATTGATATGGTGGACTAGCGGCTATAGTAATTAAAACGTAAATAATACTTGAAAACATTGTGTTTACTTGTATATGAGAAAATATAATTGCTATAGCCGCTAGTCCACCCTATCAGTGGTAGAAGAGCGTGGTTACGATCCACGGACTTCTGCTACCACTGATAGGCTTAATAACTCTGGATGTATTTTGACATCCATGTCTTCTAATTTACCTACTACATCGAGAAAATTACTGAGATGGTCTCTCACATCTTCTTGTGGAGTCATTTTCTTCAATACTAGTTGCTTTAATAGCGTAGCCTTTCTTGCCGGCCCTGTACTTTGATGTACAGACTTTAGTTTGTCCCATACCTCCTTAGATGTATTACACCCTTTAATTTGTTTAAGTTCTGGTGGAGATATAAGTAAAAGTAGTTCTGACCTTGCCTTTAAGTCTTCCTTTAGGAACGCACTCTTTTCTTCGGCAGTCGCAGTTGCCGCTAACGTTTTTTCACTACTAGCGTATTCCCATAAATAGTATCTTATGAAAATCGCCTGTACTTGTAAGCAGCAGGTAACGTAATTTGATTTTGTCAACGGTTCTATGCTTCTGATACTCGAACTCATTTTAAAATTTTTATTTTCTCATTTACTTACTACTTTAAATTTGCTTCCATTTGCCACTAGATATTCATTCAACCACGCTCTGCTACCGCTGAATCATTACAGAAAAATAAAAAACTTGTGACACGCCCGCAAGTAGCGATTCAAAGTCGATACAGGAAACTGCCCATGTGAAGGAATGTCCCTATAGGGAAGCAGTGGGAAGTTTACTAGCCGCTAGTCCAACCTATCACTTATTATTACAACAACTATGGCTAATTCTTCCTACCACAACCTTCTCTCTAGGCTACAAAGCCTATCCCAATTAGCTAGAGAATCCAGTTACTGGACTTTACTTTCCATGCCTTTTAAAAAGTTATTTTAAATTTGTTAACAAATGTCACCAATTTTACAATCCACCAAGAATCCGCTTTTTGAAACTCCCTTTGAGGCCTTAACGTTCAACACTCAAGTAATTCTAGACTTTGGTATACATAAAGTTACGGTTGATCCCAATAATACGCTAAAACAAATTATTACTCAACATTGGCATGACTGGTTGCTCATGTATACTGATGCACTAAATTAACTAATCAAGGCTGTACTAGCTTTGCTGTGTGGATACCGAAGTACAGAATAATCCTCAATAACAAGTGCTCCTCTTATACTTCAGTATTATAGGCGAATCTCTGGCAATTCTAGAAACGGTCCTCTACTCAGAATCTCATAATATAAGTAAAACCTTAGTCCTTTCCGATTCATTAAGTTGTCTACAAAATCTATTGTCAAACCCATTCTGTTCGAAGTTTAGGAACCCGACTATTTTAAAAATCAGGGAGACTCTGTTAGTGTCACCTAAAGGGGCTAAACGTAGTCCTTGCCTGGATCTCAGGACATCGTGGAATTCAAGGCAATGAATGTGCAGACCAACTGGCTAAAGCAGCTTCAACTTCTAACTCTCTTTCCTTGCAACATACTTTTTTATATGATTTGATACCATCAGCTAGTTCAGACCTCATGGCCTCATGGCGTAATCTGTTAGGTGGGCTGTATCGAGGTGTTCGCGCGATGGCGTACATTACTGCTCTAGGTTGTCATAAGGCATTCGGCTTTTTCAGAGTAACTTAGGGCTAGTGAAGCACTATTAGTTATTACTAACGGCGGTAGGGATTCACGGGGCTCTGCTTGCAAACTACGGGCAAAGCGCCAGTAGGCGGTGTGCGATGTCTCGATGTCTTCTAGTAGAGCGTTCCACGTGGTTTGGCGTTGTTCCGAGATGCAACCTTTGACGTCAAGCTAAAAGTGTCGAAGTCGAGTTCGGTTCGATTCTGGCGCTTTTATTGTTTACGTTCTCGTTGCGGTGTTATGTGTGTATTAAATTAGTCCATTAAGTTTTTGTTTATTACTTAAAGAATGAGTAAAAAAATTAAGAAAAAACCTAATGGTGTAGAATATAAAAGGAAGGCTAAAGAGAAAAAAGAAAAATATTATAATGTAATAAAACAAACGAAAAATATGAGTAATGATTCTGAATCTTCTAAGGCAATCCAAAGTAGGTTTACTGTCGATCCTGTGCAATATGAAATTTCTACTAGTTATAAACAACCACAAAATTTGTCCGAGCCTACTCTGCCTACTCCGTCAGCAGTAGAAGTTGTGAAGCAGTCGCAAAATAAACTGTTTATGGTAGATTGTGATCCAGTCAATTGGGATATAAATAACGAAACACAAGAATATAATTATTGCACTGAATGGTTTAATCAAGATACGGTATTTTTTCCATTGGCGTCGGGTGTTTTTCGACCTAACAAAAAATTTTTGAGAAAAATCAGTCATGAAATAATCAACAAGCAGAATTCTCTGGTAGTTTATTTGTTTTTTAATTTAAAATAAAAAGCTCGCTGGCGTGTAAAGCCAGAAATTATTATATAGGGAACTTCATGATTTTGGGGTTTACATGCCATGCGTACTTTACTGCTTTAATGTAGGGGCGCCGATGAGATGCTTGCCTACAGCGCTCTCAGTGTTTAATCCGCCTCTGTTCCTATTGCAATGATTGGTAAAGCATATGCGTGTACCTCATGGGGCTAGTAGCTGGCGGGAGGAAACTCTCAAGGCTGCGACTGAAAGCCGCTCAAAGTGGGAACCAGCTTGCTTGGTGAGCAGTGAACTGACAACGCGCACTGTGGCATAATTGATGGTGATGCCAAAACCAAAAGCCAAAGTCGCGGCTGTATGACAAGGTTACTACTTAAGTGCCCGACTATTTGACGCGTGCTTAAACAGTGGAATACAGTAATAATAACTAAATATTGAATGTGGATTTGTCGTCGATTGGTATGGCGTTTAGACGTATTGACATGCGCGACTTCGGTAGGAGTTTGTTTTTAATGGATGTGCTAAGCATTGCTTCAAATGCCAAAAACAATGTAGATAAAAAGACGTTAAGATTTTCGTTGGTGTGGCAATCAGCCATTTAGCTTAGTGGCTAATGCGTCAGGCCGCGAATGCCGTAGACGTGGGTTCGATTCCCACAGCTACCAAAATCTTTTCGTACTTTTTCTACAACTTTTTATGTATGTAGTTTTTAGTTACCGCCTCTTTATTTCATTAACAATATGTTATTATTATATTATTATAACTACAATAATTCAAATTTTAACGAATAAAACATTTAGTTTATGAACTTATTTTGTGTATTTATAATATATCAACCAATACACAACAAGAGAAAAAGTTTTTGTAACTTAATGTTTTAAACACTAATCTTCTATCAATTCAATAATACCGATCGAGTTTTATGCTATAATATGTATTTTCTCCTTTTAATTCTTTATTCAGTCTTCATATTTTGAACTATCTCTCTGAGTTTATTCCTATTCACTTTGGAACTGGAAGTTAAGGGAAGTTCTTTCATAAATATCACTCCACCTCTCAGTTGTTTGGTATCTGTCAACGATTCTGGAAACATTTGGAAATAATTAAAGAACACCAATAACTATATCTGGCTATAAAAATAACGAACCCTCTTTTAAGGAACATGGTTCCAATAATTTTAATAATTTGAGTACTATGCTTTTAATATTGGATTTTTGAGGTTATACTTATCAATTTTTTTCTCTCTCACCAAACGCAACAAAAGCGTTTTGAAAAATACCATGGCAACCAATAAAAACTTTTAGACATTTACCAATATTTCCAAGTTATTTAATTAAACCGTTATTAATTGCCTTTAATGTTTTTTTTCACAAAGAAAGGGTACCGGCACAGGGGATAAATTTCTTTATAGTTATTTTTCTTTTGTTACACTAATGTAAGATGCACCCCGAATTTACACTTCAATATATTATAATCACTTCTATTACAATTAACTCAATTCGCTAGCTCGAAGCAACTCAAGACAACGTGTTAAGTCTATCACTCCAAAACGTCAATTGCCGCCAACTATTTTTTTTTTTTTTGGGCTGGATGAGCCACTGTTGGCGTTAGGGGCCTTTACAAATCCGACTTACTTGAGGTGGCCGGGCGCTCGAGGCGCCTAGCCTGAACCTCGCGTATTTATTATTACGCGTTATGGTGACTAAGCTCGAGGGCTCCCGAAGGAACCTCGGCTCGGGCCGTCACGCTATTTAATTCACCGGTTTGGGTGGCCGCCTAGCTCTTAGGGCGCTTTGGCGGGGGCTCCATGGAGTGATCAGGCTCAAGGGTCCCCGAGAGGGGACCTCAGCTTGGGCTGTCACTCAACACGCGTTTAGCATTCCGATTCGAGGGTGCCCGAGAGGGCCGGACCTCGGCTCGATCGGTAGCTGTTATCTGACAGGAGGGATCTCTAGAGCTATCGTTACTACCACTTCGTAAAGCGTTGGCGCTGGGAGAAGAAGTGGCGGAAGAAACTCCAGCAACGCTTCTATCTTGAACTGGGGAGAACCTGCCAGGTACGTGGCGGAACCTAGTGTATGTTTGCCGCACTCGCCAGCGAGTGCGGTTTGTATTGGTGTGTTTGCGAAGTTTTTTAATCCTTTCGATGGCGATAGTCGTCTCATCGTCAGGGAAATCGAGAGCGTGTCGCGGTCTACGGTGATTGCGGCGGAACGTACCTAGCGGCAGGGGTCTGTAGGTGGCGGCACCTACGATTAGCGGGTTGGGATGCGCGGCGGCGGAATCGAAGTATCGGCGCGACGCCGACTTCAGGAATTGAGCGATGGTGGGCAACTCTAAATCGACATGAAGGTCGATATTGCGCATGTACCAGGGTGTTCCCGTGGCTCTGCGCAAGAATCGATTTTGGATAACCTGAAGCCGGTGTATTTGCTTCGGAGCAATGTGTGCGTAAACTGGACTCGCGTACGTCATGATAGGGCGAACTACTGCCTTATATAGAGTCACCTTGTTCCGAAGGGACATTTTAGACGTTTTGTTGAGGAGCGGATGGAGGCGACCGAGTACGAAGCCCGCCCGGTTCTTGACCCGAGTCACGTGCTGGTTGAATCTAAGTTGGGAGTCAAGGACGACACCTAAATATTTAACTTTGTTCACCCATGGTACCGGACTATCCATGAGTTTAACGGGGGGTGGTTTATCTACGTTTTTTTATGCGAAAAAAGGACGGCCGCGCTCTTGGCGGGATTGATTTCGATCCTCCATTGCCGAAACCAGTCACCGATGGTGATGGCTGCAGCTTGGAGGCGTCGATGGATAATTTCGGATGTTCTGCCTGCTGTATAGAGACAAGTGTCGTCGGCAAATAGGGCAAGTTCTACATCTTTGACTCGTGGCATGTCATTGGTGTAGAGCGTAAAAAGGACTGGGCCCAACACCGACCCTTGAGGCACCCCGGCTCGAACGGGATGCGTTGCCGAACGCGATAGCGAAAGGTCCGATTACTTAGGAAGTCTCGTATTATGCATACGAGACAATCGGGCACTCCGAGCCCGTATAACTTGTATACGAGCCCGTTGTGCCAGACTTTATCGAAGGCCTTTGCCACGTCCAAGAAGAGTGCTCCGGTGTTGAGTCCGCGTTGGCGTTTGACTAGTATGTGCTCCGTGATGCGGTGCACTTGATGGGTACAAGAATGTTTGGCTCTAAAGCCAAACTGTTCAGGGATGGGGAGCCCTTTGGCGTCCATAAGGGATCTTAGTCGGGCTAATATTAGTCTTTCAAAGATCTTCCCAAATGTTTTGAGAAGACTTATTGGACGATTAACGGTTGAGAGGGTCGCGGGTTTGTGAGGTTTGAGGAACCCTATTACGTCAGCTTCTTTCCACTCGGACGGGAAGAAGCCTTCGGTTATAGCCGCGCTGTAAATTAAGACTAGTATCTGAAGGATGCTAGTAGGGAGAAGTTTGGTCACCTTATTGGTGATACCATCAGAGCCAGGCGCTTTGCGTGGGCGCAGTTTGTTAATTGTTTCTGCGAGTTCCGAGCACGTGACCGGGGGAACGGGATCGCGGAGTGGTTCCGATGCTTTCCTTTCGACCTCTTCGTTCACCTTACGGAGGTGATCGGGGTGGGTCGGAAGCAAGCTGGGGGAGCATTGGGCCTCTAGACTGTCAGCTAGGCATTCGGCTTTCTCTTCGTCCAGCATTACTGGCGTTCCTATCGGGCGAACTAGTGGTGGCATGTTTGGAGTGGCAATACCCTTGAGGGATTTGGGAAGTTTCCAGAAGGCTTGGTGGGACGGTTTTATTGAGACTAGGCTGGAGTCCCACCGTTCGTTTCGTGAGTCTGCTATACGTGTTTTGACTTCACGTTGCAATTTACGTAGCAGTCTACGATTCGAGTCGGTGGGATATCTATCGTAGGCGCGTGTGGCCGCATTCTTGCGCCTCAGTAAGTCTTGTACATCGTCTGGCAGGGCCCAGCGATGGTCGTCCATCGCTGGAACCTGTCTCGAGCATTGCTCGACGACGGTGTTGACGTGACTCGTGAGGGCCCAAATTGCGGTCTCCGTGTCCTGTTTGTTGTTGAGTTGGTCGGGGATCGACTCTAATATTGAATTGGGCTCATTAAGTTTAGTTTTGACTCTATGCCAGCTAATGACTGTTTTGGTTTGGGGGGCGGCTATTGCTGAGGGCCCTAGCCGAAGGAAGACTGGTCTGTGATCAGAGTGAAGCTCGTGAATCACTTCCGGGTCGCGCATGGTCAGATTGATGTTTTTGACGACGCCGCCAACTAACAACCGAACAGCCTTTTATATTGCTGTAGGTGTTGCCACCATAAACCAATAGAAATACTCTAGATCAGTATTGCCTACTAAAATATTTATAACCCCATTTTTGTGTTAGCTAACACTAATGAATTATACTTTCTGTCTGAGTATAAATTGCGTGTATAAGTACACGCATACATTTCTTATTCGCGTGGTCGTGGTTTTCACGTAAAAAACTTGCGGAAATCGTTATAAATTATACGTTCTGCAGTCTTAAGTCCTCCGTAAGCTGCCACTGTTTTGAATCGATTAGAGTATTAATTTGTCAATAACTGCTTCGAATTATTTTACTTTCAATTTTAAATTATTTGATGCTTGCTTTCAATCATTCATTTAAGGTTTACCTTTAACCATATCCTTTATTTCTTGGGCAGTCAGTTGGTAATTTTCATGGGGCACAACACATGCAACCGGTAATTCACCACACTCATAGTCAGCGATTCCGGTGACTGCGACGTCTAGCACACCCGGATGTTTTAGGATGGTGGATTCAATCTCTATCGGTGATATCTGGAAGAGCAAGGCATATACATCGTACCCATATATATAGCCTACAAATGTGCATGTGAATTATCAGGATTACTACGTACAACTAGTCAACGATGTGCAATTAGAATCTGAATAATTTTTGTGTGTATTATTATAACCACAAAACCTACACGTAAATGTAGTATGTATTGAAATTGACAAAACCTTGAAACATTACTTTAATAAAAAATTACCTTTTCTTTCAATGCGTAGTATGTGGACGTTATCTAAAGGAACCCTTATGGAAGACTATATTTTGGAAGCTTAGAAAAAGAAATTACCTGGTGGTTACGATACTTTAAGAGCAATTTTAATCGGTCGACGAAGTAGTATTTGCAGTTCTCATCGAAGTAATGAATATCACCGGATTTAATCCATTTGTCTTCGGTATACATATCTGCTGTCGCTTTAGAATTATTGTAATATCCCTAAAATTATAAAATGAATTTTTGCATCAAAACAAAAGAAAATAAGTGAACACAAAGGAAATTTAATGATAAATTTCATTATTATAGCTTCTGACATGATAATCGTTATTTGAATCATACCTAATTCTGTCTCAAAGGTAATTGCGATAATTGAGAATTATTTATGAATTTATTTTAATTAAAACTTTACTAATGAATTTTTTTTATGTTGGTTTTCCAAAATTAGATAGTTAAATTCTTTGATTGTGTCGCGTTTCTCCAAACATTTTTACATTTACAATATGTAATAAAATAATACCTTAAAAGTTATTGGTCCTTTTACCCAAAGCTCCCCTGGTTTGTTAGGTTCCATTATATCTTGTCCTGTTACTTGGATCTACTAACTTGAATTAATAAAATTATTTTATTTTTATTAGTTTACGACGCTATGTATTTTGATGGTATAGTTAAAATATAAAAATTATAAATACACATGTCAGATCCGACTTATATATACCCGACGATACGGAAACAAATTTTGAGGATCTGTCTTGTAAATAGATGTTTTTACTCACTCGATATTGTAAGATCCCCAGAGGCGCACCACAGGATTTTAGTGTAGAGTAAACTGGGTTGAATACAACTGCTGTTGCTTCAGTCAATCCATATGTATTGTAAGCAGATACTTCAGGCATAACTTTCTGCAATATATCTGTGCATTAATTTTCTAATCTAGGCATTATTTCATCATCATAATTATTTAAGCCTGTTTGAGTCCACTGCTGAACATAGGCCTCCCCCACAGAATGTCACGAAGTACGATCCTGAGCCTCCTGTATCCATCGACTTCCCACACACTTGCACAGGTCGTCACTCCATCTAGTGAGGGGTCGTCCCACACTGCAATGGTCAGTACGAGGCTACCACTCAAGAACATTTCTTCCCCAACGGTTATCGGTTTTACGAGCTATATGGCCAACGCCATCGCCACTTCAGCTTACTAACCTTCTGAGCTATGTCGGTTACTTTTGTTCTCCTGCGGATGTCTTCGTTGTGAACTCTATCACGCAGAGAAATACCGAGCATATCCCGCTCCATAGCTCGCTGAGTGACTTTGTGCTTCCTCATACGGCCAGCAGTGAAGGACCGCGTCTCAGTTTCGTATGTCACCGCTGGCAACACACATTGGTCGAAGACTTTAGTCTTCAAACATTGAGGTATATTCGACGAGAAGATATGCCGATTTGTTTCCTGAACGCTGTCCATCCCAGTTGTTTTCGCCGATTGACCTCTGTGTCGAAGTTGAACTTACCTAGCCGGACTAACTGTCCTAGGTATACGTACTCGTCAACAACTTCGAACATAGGGCTCCCAACAACAGCCGGTTTATACGGTGACATGGACATTAGACATGATCTTCGTCTTGTTCATGTTCATCTTAAGGCCCACCCATTGAGAGACACTGTTGAGGTCATTGAGCATATTACTAAGGTCCGCCAGCGATTCTGCCATGATAACTATGTCGTGGGCAAATCGAAGGTGGGTGATCGCCATTGATGTTTATATCAAGTTCTTTCCAGTCCAAAAGCTTGAAAACATCTTCCAAGAGCTTCGGGGATATGATATCATCCTGCCTTACACCCTTCTGAAGTTGGATAGGTTTTGTACTACTGGACTGTACTTGGACGGATATCGTAGCCTTGTTAAACAAACATATCAGCACCTCGATATACCGACAGTCAATTTGGCACCGGTGGAGGGCCTGTAGTACCGCCCGAATTTCGACAGAATCGAAGGCTTATTAGTAAATCCTATAACTCACTTTAAAAAAAAGTTGTGATCTAGATCCTATGACTTTTATTAATAACTAGCGAGGACGAGTTGAGATAATTCATGAGGTTCTTACCTGAACGGTTTCTAAAAGTGTTTTTTGTACAGCACTACCAGCCAATAAAATTATTTTAAAACAGCTGAAGTCACATTTGTCACGATCTCCCGGCTTTAATAGCGATGTCATTGTATTGGGACTGATCATAGTAAAGGAAGGCTGAAATAAAAGATTTATAAAGTTAACGGTTGTTAATTTTCTTTTATATTTGAATTAAGCCTTTATCGACTTTAAGGGTGAACTAGATAGTAAAACGCAATTATTTGTATTCATACCAGTATTTTCAGTCACAAAATAGGTGTAGCAAATTTATTTTTCTTTAGGCACTATTATCTCAACTACTACGAATAAATTCATAAAAAGTAAAATACTATTTCATTACAACCTTGTATTTGTTGATTAGGAAATACATATGCTCCATTGTAGAGGGCAGTGAACTTTGTACTCGAGTGAATCGTAAAATAGGCGACAAAACGTAACTGCTCGTGGCTGAGATCCACTGGAGAGGAGATACGATTAGAGCCCTTTCGGTTGGCGTGGGGAACTTCCAAGATGTAATCCTGTGCAGAGGTAAATTGTAGTTTTTTATACTTCATTAAATGTAATAGTCATAATTAATTAGACCAACGTTACAGAACTTTGATATTAAGCTGAATTATAAAAGAACTATGCAGTTTTTCAATTTTATGAAACAGCTGGTTTTCAGGTCGCATGCCTTGACGGCAGCATTGAATGCCATCGCAATGTGTCTAAAAAGTTGTCAATTTATAGCTGTAGCTTAGATTACACATCAATAAATAATTTGATAATAATAAATTTCGATTGATTTTTCACCCTTGACACGTTTTTCGTAATGTGATTTACAATAAAAAGAGCAATGAATTTGTGTACCTACCACTCACATTATGATTTAAAAGATATTTTAATGAATTTCATAATTACCAAAAATAAGGCCAACCAATGCTTATGTTTTTATGAGTCAGTGCGGCACATTTGGGTACTCCAGTAGTGCCGCTAGTTGAAACAAGAAACGCAATTGTATCTTCAGGCTCGAAATTAGCAGCTCTGTAAATTTAAAACCAAATCATTACCCGCATTATATATAATAAACCAATAACCTTTACCTATGTGTCTTAAAAAGTGTACCTATTATTTCTAATACAGGCTCTACTTCGAGAATTATTCATTACAAATTAATTTAGGATTCATTCAGATTATTTCTGTTTTGATAGCATACTAATTATGAGAAGATTGTACAAAAAAGTTTATAATGACTTACCGTTCGACTATGATAATAGATAAAACCTAATACAATCTTGGAAATAAAACATGTTATAAATATGAATACGTACTCAAATTTCTCGACAGGCATGTTATCTCCATACTTTTTAAGAAAATAAGAGAAATCGCAATTGTTTGTTCCTTTATCGAACGTCACGATTCTAACTTCTAAATTTAAGTTTTTCGCAGCTTCTTTTGCTTCTTCTTTTTTCTCACTTTGGCAAAAGATCAATTTTGGAAGGCAAATTTGGAATGCGTCCTGTTGTTCCTCTAAAAAATAAATGATTTACTTATCGGCTTCTATTCGGCTTAAGACAATCGTAACATTTATGTGTAACGGTAGCAAGTGAGCGTCCAACAGTAAAGATTGGTGCGTGGACCTATCATGGTTTATCATTGGGGACATTTCTGTGAGAACAAGGATAGGTATGTATGAAATCGATCACAATCAATATAAGGTCCTAGAAAAAATAAGAGCTTACTCATTCCTAATAAGGGGTCCATACAGGCCACGCTAATTCCTAAATAGAATGCGGCATACATAGGTATTGTAAGGTCAATGTGATTTGGACCGCTCACTAATATAACATCGTTTGTCTTCAAGCCCAAAGCTCGAAATGCAGTCGCACATCTAACTGTTCTCTCTAATGCCGATTGAAAAGTTTCAGATTCACCAGTTGCGCCATCAATCTATTGAAAATATATTTTTTTTATTTGCACAATGAACTATGAAATAATATAATTATTTTATTTAAAATCAATAAGGAAATTTATTGCTGTCCAATTTTATTTTCTAAAATTCAAAAGAATTAAAAACATCTTTTTATCTAATTATAATATAGCTCTTCATGAACTACTTATCGATGTCTTGGTCTTTAATGTGAACTTAAAAGAGTTCAAAAAAGACGTGTAGATAAATCAGCTTGGAGACGCTTTTGCGTTTGTATTATTTTGCCGTCAGTAAATAAATAAATAAACATAAAATTTCTTTTCTTTAGGTGGATACAAAATTTTATTTATGTTACATGAATTTTTTAATAATGAATTTCTTCATCTCAAGACAGACATTCTCATTTTCACTTTAATTCGATAAATAATTTATGTTAATTATAATTCGTTCTGATATTATATCTTAAGCCCCGTCTCCATTTTGGAATTTTCGTTTCTCTTCTATACATCGGACGACTTCGGCATGGGAGAGAAACCTCTAAAGTTTGACTATTGACTAAACATGAAATAAAACTGAATAACAAATAATACCAGTGGATAAGAAATAATAACAATAACAACTCTTATTAATGAACTAATTAATGTGAAAAAATAATAAAGTACATGGCATGATGCCTCTAACGCTACTTATTACCAACTAAAAACTTATTTAACACAAGTCAATTTTTTTTAACGAAAAACGAAACCGACTTCAAATATCTGGCTCTGTATTCATTTCATAATTGATTTTCAGGAGTTCCCTAAGTATCTCCGGAGCCCAAAATCCAATACCAATGAAATAATACAATGAAGAATATGGGACCACATGGGAAGCACCAGCTTTCAAATAAAAAAAAGAATCCTCAAAATCGGTTCACTCAGTGGAAAGTTCTGAGGTTTTTAAGACATTAAGACATTTAATCCGACACTTCATCTGCACACATATTACATTTGGTTACAATGTATATAAATGTACTATAAAATAACAAACAAAAAAAAAATAAAAATAAAATAAGCAAATAAATTAAATAACCTAAGAGTAATTTTAGAAGAGGAAAAAATAATAATATAAAAACAAAAGAAAAGTAAAACAAAGAATAAAAATAAAAGAAATTTATAAATAAGGATGTAGTGACGGAAAGGACGGAAAGGTTTCATATCATTAAAAAAAAATACAGTCGTATTGAGAAACTCCTCCTTACTTGAAGTCGGTTGAAAAATAAAAACGACTCCAAGTTGATTTATTTATAAAAGCCTTGTGTCAATAAGTTTAATCGGTATTTTTAACTTCCTGGTATCTATTTTCTTAGCATTTCTTTAAAAGTGTTTTATAATCTTGTTAAACTATTAATATACCTGCAAAATATGATCCGGTGCATCCTTAAAGCTCTGAAGTATAAGTTTTCCAATGTGATATTTGTCGGACGCAATCCCAGATTTGGCAACCACGCGGCTACCTAAATCGCTCATGAACAAATGAACAGCGTCGCTATGTTGCTTCAGAGAGCCCATTTTTCTGTAATAAAAATTAATAAATCTTAAGTATACAATTCTTAGGGAGGCTTCGTTGTTTCGCCCTACATCTTGGGTTACAAGTCAACAAGTCTTGAGTTACAACGCTGTACAGCCTAAGGGTGGAAAGGTTACCGAAGAAAACTAACCTCTAGGTTAGATGAAGAAAGGAAACCCCTTTCATTGTTTAGCGTGAGGTAGGGCCAAGCAACAGTCAGTGCACGAATGGGCAGGTCAGTCCGGATTAGTACCACGAGCTCACAGGAGACCGGAATAAGTGGAAGTGTTATATTTCTGCGTTTCGTCTGTTGAGTGAGATAGCCAGCGCCCACTTTTTTAAAAAGTGGCAACGTGTCTGCAACCCTACGGGTGTTGCAAATGTTATTGGCCAGCGGTGTCAGTTAACAGCAGGTGAACCGCCAGCCCATTTGCCACCATCTCACATAAAAAAAAATTATAAACAAAAGTCTCTCCGTCTCCTGTTGGGACATTAAAAATTGAGAATAACCTTCATCCGATCTTGTTAGGGCTATTTAACCAACATTATTTATCTTAATTTATTCCAAGTATACAAGATAAATGTATAAGTGCAAGAAATGCTTATCGCGTGGTAGCGCACTCTACACGATTTTTTTAATAATCACGAATACACAAAAGCATATGCACAAATGTGTATGGATAACAAAATGTATGAAAAGAAAAACAATTACATAAATATTTTACCTAAAAATCGGTCGAGATGAGAAAAGCACTTCACGACTAGACTTAAATTTAAATCGCAACTGGCATATAATTTGGCAGTTGCACTTTTATATACTGTACTGACAAAATACCACATTCTGAGCAAAGAGATAATTTTTATTATCCATTATCAACAAAAAATAATATATCTGTTGCCACGGCACATGTTTGGTTCATCGTAATATAATTATTCAATACAAAAATATTCTGTCTCCGTTTTACTAATGACTTGATAAGGAAATAACATTTTCAATAACAAAAAGCAAAACCGGCTTCAAATAACTCACTCACCATACATTTTCTACTTTTTGTGGTATTTAAATAATATATCTGCGGAGTCTAAGATCCAATACTATGACCAGACCCAATGCAAAAAGATTTTTTAAAATCGATTTTTAAATAATGGAGTCCTGAGGAAACAAACATCAAAAAGTAACCTAATTGACAACCTCTTTTTATGAAGTCATTTGAAAGTATGCACTAGATTTCTTTCTTGAATTGTAATAAAACAGTTAATTACAAACTATAAGTCTAAATAAATCCTTACCAATACGGCCAAGTGCGAGTTGGACTCGCGCACGAAGGGTTCCGTATTATCCATAAAAACGACAAAAAAATAAATCTGTTGTATGGGAGTCCCCTTAAATATTTTTTATTTTACTCTATTTTTTAGTATTAGTTGTTATAGCGGCAATAGAAATACACCATCTGTGAAAATTTCAACTGTCTAACTATCACGGTTCAAAAGAAACAGCCTGGTGATGGACAGACAGACAGACAGACAGTGGAGTCTTAGAAATAGGATCCCGTTTTTGTTTTTTTACCTTTGTGATGCGGAACCCTAAAAAATAAAAAGATTCTCCATGAAAAAAGACTTCCACCTTGCCCAGTGTTAATGCTCATTAACTTTTAATATGGTTGACCCCTGGTGGGTTTGTGAGTGTTAATTTAAACGGTTGCTGAATTTCAAAAGAACACGTCAAATTCAAACTATTGAATAATTATGGAATATTCCTAAAGAGTTTTATGAAACATTAGTAATTATTGAAAGGAAAATAAACTATGATGCTCATTGCATCTGACGGCATTGTGGTTGGGTTTGTTGGTCAACCGTGTCTGTTATATTTTTAACATATGTCACCTCTTTATGTGTCATAGCCTATACTATCGATTTTGTATAAATAATTAAGATCATTCAAATCTTCATGCTTCAAGTTTCGGACGACGGAATTTAGATCTGCAACAATGACATTTTCTAAAATCCAATGTGTGTCCTGGGATTTTATTGAGATTTCCTTTATTATATAATTATGACAATATATTCAAACTAGTTTTAATCGATAAATGTACACTGTCGCTTTACTGTTATCATTACAAACATAACGTTATCTTCATAAATGCATTCTGCAGATATGCAGAAAAACAGGCTCAAAATCTTATCATAGTGTTTACCGTAATATTTATAACGCTAAAAATACTGATAACGTAAGCAAAATTTCCTAGTACGTAAAAGTATTTTACGTTAAGTTATTATATGATATTATGGATACAAAAGTTTCTCTGATTGACGCGAATATTGAACCTTTTTGATTAAACAAATGTACGGATAACATTGTGGTTGCAAAAGAACCACCTCTCTTGTCAACAACTGAGGCAAGAAATCTAGGGACGTAAACCATTCAGAAATTTCTATGTACGGGGACCCCACATTACGTTCATTTGATACTAATAAAAATATACATCAACTTTTGACTATTTACAATTCATTTTTACTGAATAATACACGACGGTGACAATTTCATAGCACAAGCTTGGTATTTTACTCTATTTTCAGTTTAGATATAAAATAATTAAGCGATTGTGCAATACTCGAAGGAAATAAGAAAATAATACAAACGAAAGTATTTTCAGGCGTGATATTTAAGGATATTTACTATGATATCTTGACTACTTAATCTTATAGTAGTACCTGGAGGACCGAGCTTTGCTCGGTTTGTTTTTTTTGTAAATCATGTATTTTGGAAATTACATTTAGATACAAATTACTGAGTAATGAAATATGCATAATATTTTTCGATCTTACCGACCTAATAATAAGAAAATATGAAATGGTGTTTTTCACAAAAGAAACAACTTTAAAAAAAAGGGAAAAAATAACAAAATCATCTGGATCAACAAAAAAAAAATAAAGAAAGCAATGATCTGGAATCGAAAAAAAAGTAAAAAAAAGAGTGTGTAAATGATCGTGACACGAACCAATCGTACCTACCATTCATTGTAATATAAGCAGTTTTATAACATTGTTATTTAAATTAATCTTTAGCGAGGCCATTGTTATCAAAATTTTAAGTTTATGAAAAGCAATAACATGGAATGATAACATGGAATAATGTGAAATGGGTTGGATAAAGATTTTTTTACAGAACATTACGTGTAAGTTGGAAATAAATATAAAAGAAGTGCTTAGGAAATTATATTATACACAGTTACTACGGATGCCCACGTTATGGGTACCACGAATAGCATTCTTGGATTTCTTGGATATGTTTAGTCGTTGATCAGTTCATCCGGCTTTCGATATACATATACAAATTAATTCTCGACATGCATAATATGTAGCGTAACTCTAACACTTGGGACATAACTTACTTTTAGAATATGTCTCATGGTTCTGATATCAAGCCTCAATGTCACCATGTAAGGACGCAGTGAGGACATTTTTAATTGGAAAGGATATAACAATGGATTCACCAAGCATTGCTTCAAATGCTAACAAAAACAATGTAGATAAAAGACGTTAAGATTTTCGTCGGTGTGGCAATCAGCTGCTTAGCTTAGTGGCTAAAGCGTCAGGCCGCGAATGCCGAAGACGTGGGTTCGATTCCCAAAGCAGCGAAAATCTTTTCGTACTTTTTCTACGAATTTTAATTATAACATGTATTTATTTTAGTTTTTATACTGATTATTTCTTTTCAAATTTAGCTATTTAAATGCGACTCCCTACGTATATGGTACGCATTTACAAAACTTTTCTTCAATAAAGAAGAACGTAAAGAAATTGTTATGAATTTAAGCAATGATTTTTTTTAAAAATTTGAATGAATTTATTTACAAATTAAAAATATGTATTTTAACTTCATTAAATTTCACAAGAACCGGGATTTGAAGAGGTCTATCATTCCATTGATTATTTCTTGTTATTAACAAATTATTGTCATCACAGTAGCGTAAGTATAATAACAAAATTTGGTTAATGAAATTATATTGTTTATTTATGTTGTGTGTCAACTAATACACAATAATAATAAAAAAAATACAGTCCGGCTTTGATCTTTGATTTAATGTCTGTTTTTTTCTCTTTATTCTAAACTATTCAACACTAATATTCTTTACCATTTCTTTAAGCTTATTCCTATTCACCTTAGAACTGGAAGTTAATGGTAGTTCTTTCATAAATATCACCCCTCCTCTCAGTTGTTTGGAATCCGATAGTGATTCTGGAAACAATTAAAAAGTGTTCAAAGGCCATGTGTTTACATGGAACATAATGTTAAAAAATTAGGTTCCCTTTCTTTCTTTTATTTTGATATTTCAGTAACAAGGTTTCAACTGCGCACCCAGTTTGAGAAATCTAAACTTGGTTTGCGTTTACCGAAGCTTAAAAGCTGTGACCGTGTACAAATGTAAGGTTTCATCGGTAAAACTGTAATGAAACGTCGAATTCGTTAAGGCATCCCTGGTATTTGAAACTGCAACCTTTAAAGTACTAGACTAACCACGTTGCCACTGCTTTCAATAGATTTGGGTATTTGATAAAACTTTTTCGCTATACTAGTTATGCGTTTACTCTTAAATAATTTGAAACTATAAACGGTGGTAGGGCCACGCAGCAGACTCGGCTGTTGCACAAATGGGCAGGCTCGTCCGTGTAAGTACCACGATCTCACAGAAGACCGGCATAAAGTGGAAGTATGACATATACTTTCGCGTTTCGTCTGGTGAGTGAGGTGGCCGGAGCCCAATCTTCAAAAGTTTGTCAACGGATCTTGAACCCTCGGGTGTAGCAGAAGTCCATGGGCGGCGGTATTCACTTAACATCAGGTGAACCGTCTGCTCGCTTGGCAACATTTCACATAAAAAAAATAATTATTTAGAATTCACCTTTGACTAAATCTTTTATTTCTTGGGCAGTCATTCGGTAATTTTCGTGGGGCACAATACATGCGACTGGTAGTTCACCACACTCATAGTCAGCGATTCCGGTCACTGCGACGTCTAGCACGCCTGGATGTTTACGGATGGTGGATTCGATTTCTATCGGTGATATCTGGAAGAGATAGTTTAATTTATTTTACTATTTTAATCGATCTGTCAAAACTTTTTAATTGTCCCAGCGAACGGAGAGTTGTGAATTGAAAAAAATGGCTGTGCGTTGTTTGAATCAATCAACAAAACATCATTATTAAATAAAAACGGTGATGAAATCTGATGATAATGAAACCTATTTAATTGTAAAATACAGACTCAAATACAAAAATCGAATGAAGTCCAATGTGTGGGGACTTTCTCTTGTGAATCTTTGATAAGAATCGAAGAGAAGATGTTATATATTAAAGCAAAACTTGCATTAATTTGGCCGGTCAACTGCCTACTTTTGATTTAATTTAATTTTTTTTGATATTGAACTTTCACATTATAAAAACTTGGAACCAAAAGGAGTTACTTATGTAAACAAGTAAGAAGTCATACTTCTTACGTTTATTTAAATAGCTGGGTAAAAAATAAGTAAATTTCAAAAAGTTTTTATTGGTTGCCATCGTCATACCGCAAACTTGGTTGCTTTGCAACAAACTTCATCATGTCGTTTTTTGGCTCTTGGTGTGCACGCGCAGCGTAAAAATTTTACTCGTAATTTTTCACTTGGTAACGTTTATAACTTTAGGAAATAAATAAATTTAGATTGATTCGATTTCAACTTGGAATTATAATTAAATGTCAAAAAGTTATTATTGGTTCCCATGGTTATACTATGAAGTTGTTTGCTTTGCGACAAACTTTATCATGTCGCTTTTGAGAGGTCGGTGTGCGTGCGCACTGTAAAAATTTTACTCTCATAATTTTTTCAAACGCTTCAAAAGTATAACTTCAATAAAGCCAAAAAAATTAAAATTACCTGGTGGTTTCGATATTTTAGGAGCAATTTTAATCGGTCGACGAAGTAGTATTTGCCGTTCTCATCTACATAGAAAATGTCACCTGATTTAACCCATTTGTCTTCCACATACATTTCTGCCGTCGCTTTAGGATTGTTGTAATATCCCTACAATTGCAGGTTACAAATTAAATTAAAGAAAACACAAAAGCCGTTTAGGATATTCTTATAAAGATATTTCTTTATAACATGTATTTTATGTAACTATGTATTTACATGTCACAGAGAAATATCTTCTTAACAACACGGGAACGCGCAGTTCCCGAGAAGTTTGTGACCTACAAAAATTTACTCTTTATGTAGCAAAAGTACGTAGTAATACAAATTATAATATATCCCATAGAGAAATCAGTTTTAAAACTAAGAACAATTTACAAGTTTTTTTTCAATAAAATTTTTAGTGGTAGTAGTTTACCAAAATTTTATGGTAAAACTCTTCGATGGCTTCGCGGTTGGCCAAATTATTCAAAGAATATTTTAAATCTAATAATATTACCTTAAAAGTTGTTGGTCCTTTTATCCAAAGCTCTCCTGGTTTGTTAAATTCGACTATATCTTTTCCTGTCGCCGGATCCACTAACTTTAATTAATAAAATTATTATTTAATTTTAAAACCATTACCATTTATTTAAAATATTAATTAAATATGCACGCGAATTAAATGGTTCTTGTATTTTATGAAACCTAAAATAATCTTAAATAGATGTTTATACTCACTCTATATTGAAAGCTACCCAGGGTCACGCCACAGGAGTCTGCCGTAGAGTAAACTGGGTTTAGTACAACTGTTGCCACTTCAGTCATTCCATAACCAATTAAAGCAGACACTTTGGGTATAACTCTCTAAAATGAATTCACATACATTATTAGGTGGCAAAATATGACAAGATTTTAAACTTACAAATTATAATAAATTGGTGGTAGGGCCACGCAGCAGCCTCGGCTGTTTCACGAATGGGCAGGCTCGTCCGGGTAAGTACCACGACCTCACAGAAGACCGGCGTTAGATGGAAGTATAATACTTTCGCGTCTATATGTATCGTACTTTCGTCTGGTGAGTGAGGTTGTCCAAGGTATATGCATATCGCCTAATTGCACTGGGTCTTTATTGGTACTCTAATTGGTAGCGTGTATGGTACAGTATGTGTTTTGTGCCTAATAAATAATGTAATTCTTTTTCTATATAGGTAATCAGCATCATTTAATTTATTACTAATTCGTGATAGCTCAGTGTCCGGGCGCCCACCTTTAATTCAATATACTCGATCAACCTGAGTTTTCCTTTAACGTGAAAAGTTGCCAAGTGAGCAGGCGGTTGTTAAGTGAATACCGCCGCCCACGGATATCTGCTACTCCCGGGGGTTGCAGATGCGTTGACAACCTTTTGAAAATTGGGCACTTACTACCTCACTCACCAGACGAAAGGTGAAAGTATTATACTTCCACTTCGCGCCGGTCTTCTGTGAGGTCGTGGTACCTACACGGACGAGCCTGCCCATTCGTGCAACAGCCGAGGCTGCTTCGTGGCCCTACCACAATTGAGGTCAATCTACGGTGTCGTCACCAATGAAATTGTTAATATTAAGCGCTGACTTATCACGTGCTCAGCGGTGAAGCAAAAATATCGTGAGGAAACGTGCATATTTTTGAAATGATAACAAAAAACCAAGCAGTGAGACCGTGTGGTGGACTATGCCCTGATACCCTCTGAGCAGAGAAGGTCTTTGGCCGGCAGTGGGATATGACTTTACTTTTTTTACGTTTACAAAATTCGCGGTCACGTTCCTATGACTCTTATTCTTAACTACTGTTATGTTTAGGTAACTTGTGGTTCGAGGCTCTTACCTGCACTGTTTCTAACAGTGTTTTTGGTACAGCACTACCTGCCAATAAAATTATTTTAAAACAGCTAAAGTCGCATTGTTCACGATCTCCAGGTTTCAATAACGATGTCATTGTGTTAGGGCTGACCATCATATATGAAGGCTGAAATAAAAAGTTTACCAAAAGTTAATGAACTTAAACTCCAACAATTATCGATGTTTAGGATTTACGAGATAGTTAACATGTAGAGCCGTGATAGTTCAGTGTCCGGGCGCTCGCCTTTAATTCAATTAAACTAGAGCAATCTGAGTTCGTGAAAAAAATGAAATTGCTAATTTTAAGTACCGACTTGTCACGTCCTCAGCGGTGAAGGAAAACATCATAAGGAAACCTGCATATTTTCAAAATATTTCGGTCTTTTATAAACTCCATAGAGTTATTTTGAATGCTAAACCAATTAAGCACACACATTCATCAAGAGTAAAAATACAATTTCATAAGATTTACAAGATTAAATCTATCTAAAATTACAACTTCATAAGGACCTTATATCTGTTGATTAGGAAATACAAATGCTCCGTAGTAGCAGGCAGTGAGCTTTGAATTCGTGTAAATCTTAAAAGGGGAGACATAACGAAGCTGCTCGTAGCTGAAACCCACTGGATAGGTGATAAGACAAGAGCATTTTCGACCGGCGTTGGGAATTTCCACCTTGTAACCCTATAACAGAATATGGATTAGAGAATTAGAATATCATTTATTTATTATTTATTCAACATAATATATGTCCATAATTATGAAAGTAGTCTAAGTCATATATTTATTGTGTCGAGATATTTAATTACAAAATGAACGATTTAAAAAATAGTTTTACATTATATACGACATTTTAATATGTAATTTTTTTAGTCTTGATTAATCGAAATTCATTTTGATCATGGAATTTTGTCTGACCGTTTTACGAAAATGTCGTTTTTAAAGCATGAATCGACTCAGACCATTTCCAAAATTAACAATAAACAAAACAAAAACACAAAATTAAACCGTATAACGTTGAAATTACAACCACTTACAAAGTGGTTGTAATTTCTCATATTTTCATAGGGGTTTAATTTTGATGATATCGTAAAAATTACATTGAATGAATTTAATTAAAAAAATAATGTGCTGTGAAATAAATGAACATTCTCAGTAAACTATTCTTTAATGAGTTATTATTGACTTCACAATTATGGGCACATATGTGAGCGTTTACAATTATGGGAGGTCATAAAATGTGAATTGTTATTATAACGACCCATATTCAGATTAGAGGGCCAGATTTAGAAGTCTGGAGGCATCGGGGCGACAAAGGAGTGGATGCCCCTTGGCCCCAAATTATTTTCTATTGATTTCAGTTAATATTTAATATAATCATGTCCCTACAAAGTACTGTAGATAATAGTAAAACGCGAAAAAAAATATGAAAGGAAAAGTTATTTACTAATCTGAATTCGAAATTTTTTCCCGAAGTCTCTATTGTGGGGACCCCTCTTTTGTGGAGGCCCTGCGGCTGTAGCCCCGGCTAAATCCGGCCCTGCCCATATTGATTGCTTTTATATTTACCACATAGTGGGCCAACCCATCATAAGATTTTTGTGAGTGAGCGCGGCGCATTTGGGTACTCCAGTAGTGCCACTAGTAGAAATCAATAATGCAATAGTATCATCCGTGTCAAAATTAGCAGGTCTGTAAAATAAAAATTAAAGCATTATTCAATCTGAATATATTAAAATGGCATCCAAACTTCACATACTTTTTGATAGAAACAATGTAATAAATATTAACGTACTCAAATTTCTCGACGGGCGTGTTGTCTCCATACTTTTCAAGAAAATCAGAGAAGTTGCAATTGTTTGTCCCTTTGTCAAATGTCACGATAATAACATCTAGATTTAAGTTTTTCGCTGCCTGTTTAGCTTCTTTTTCTTTGTCACTTTGGCACAAAATCAATTTTGGAAGGCATATTTGGAATGTATCTTGTTGTTCCTCTAGGAAAATTAAATGATTCATTGTTAATTGATATTTTGTCACCAGAATTTAATTCGAACGACTCAAATTAAGGATATAATTAGTGGATAGTGGACCTGTCTTATGCACTAGAGAGCACGGGTTCAATCGCCACTACTGGAAAATAATTGTGTGATGAACGTAATATTTTTCTATTGTTTATGTGTATATGTAATATCTATTTATTTACTAAAAGAAAAGTATGTATAAGAATATTAAAGTAGTAAAGAAAGGTAAAAAACATCAGTAATAATTATAACTTACTCAATCCTAGTGTTGGGTCCATACATGCCACGTTTATCCCCAAATAGAACGCGGCGTAAATCGGTGTAGTAAGGTCAATGTGATTTGGACCGCTCACTACTATGACATCGTTTGTCTTCAGGCCCAAAGCTCGAAATGCGGTCGCGCATCGAACTGATCTCTCCAAAGCCGATCGAAACGTTTGGGATTCACCGGTTGCGCCATCAATCTATTAAAATGATATAAACTATTTGAAAAATGCGAAAAACTAGGATATTATCACAATTTAATACAGTGAGATCTATTCAAACTTATAAGCCTTAAAATCAAAACATAAATAAAGTTTAAAACTTAAAAGAATTTCAACTGTTTTCGCGAACTCAACATGTATTCAAAGTAATGTATTTATTCTGATTTATTTTTAAATATTTATACATAACATAGTTTATATTGTTGCTATTATAACAGCAGTTTCATAGACTACAAATCGTTGTTGAAGAACACAGATTCAAATAAAAAAAACATTCAACTTTCAATATAGAAGAGGGTTGACATTCAACTTTCAATATAGAAGAAGGTTGAGTTCTACAGTTAGCTTTCATTTACTATGCTTTATGCTGAAACACACCACTACTTTAAGACTTTATGCATAGATTGGACAAAAACTTTTAAATACTGACAGCATATCGTCTAATTTATTGAATCTTGTAAAGCTATGCATAATATTATATACCTGCAATATGTGATCTGGTGCATCCTTAAAGCTCTGAAGTGTAAGTTTTCCAATGTGAAATTTGTCTGACGCAATCCCAGACTTAGCAACCACGCGGCTACCTAAATCATTCATGAACCAATGAACTGCATCGCTGTGTTGCTTCTGTGGACCCATTATTCTGTAAAATATTTTTAACTTTAATGACTCCGTGGCGCAGTTGCCAGGGTATTGGCTTCGGCGTCGGGGGTCGTGAGTTCGATTCCCACACGGGACAACTATTTGTGCGACCCACAGATATTTGTTTCGCATCTGGGTGTTTGTCCTCGTGCAATTTATGTTAGTAAAACGTCCTTACAACACAGGATAATGTTATCCTAAAGTGAGGGCAATGTTTTTGAAAAAAAAAAATTGAATAAACAAATATTAAGATTTTCTACTAAATAATTAATTATTCTTCATTCAATAAAAGTCCATATTTTAGAAATGTCAATAAAAATATATGACGTCCGCCAATCTGCAGTGGGGCCACGGGTTAGACGATGCCTACCTAATAACAGCAGTGAGATATAAATAGGCTGTTACTGTTTTACAATTAAACTGGATAAAAATTACACTGTCACAACTTTTTGTCCTATGGTGCTAAGTGTACCATATATTTTGGAAGTTACACCATAATTTAAATCAATATTATTATTCAATTTGATTTTACAGAATTTAAATAAACAACAATTAAAAATAACCTTCAACCTTTCAGTCTTTTTCGTAAATTAATGTAAAGAGATCTTTCTAATTAGCTATAGCTTTCTATTAATATAGTATATTAGTATATTATACATTATACCTATATTAGTATATTATACCTATATTAATATAGTACTTATATTATTTAATGTACACATAGAATTCATAGTAGTTCTATACAGTGCCTTATATTTGGGACTGTATTTGGATTTTGGATTAAAAAGACCCAAGTACCTGTCTTTTTTTTTGTGATGTGTTTATCTGATAATGTCACAGTTTTTAAAAACAACCGGTGTTTACTTGACCACTGAACATAAGAGTTAAAGGAGTGTGCCGTGGGATATCATTGTTTTATTAAAAAAAGTGACGATCCATTATAATATTAGCCAGAAATAACACTGAAGTGACGAATGGGCGCGCACAACGATAATGTATTTAAGCCCGATCTTCGGAAATAAATAACAGTTAAATGCTATTTGATATAGCTAATATTCCCATTTTTTTAAGTTATGCAATTTGTTATTAAAATAATAATAAGATCAACTTAAACTTTTAATTTATAATTAATAAATACTTATATTATATACTATTAACATTAAAGTAGATGTTTTCATCTTTTTTATACATTAAACTGTCGCAACTATCGTACATTATTACCAAATGTTTTGACTTAACTACATTAATCAGTCGTGTCGTGCATCGTAAGATAATCAGTTCAGCTGTTATTCAAGTTAACCTTCACCGAGGTCGTAAATGTTATCAAATCTTTAAGATTAAAACAAACAAACTATAATATAAAAACAATAACACACCCCCTTTAGATAGATAAAATGAGCTGGATAATAACATCTTTTCTAATATTATAATGGCGAAAGTTTGTATGTATGGATGGATGTTTGTTACTCTTTCACGCAAATACTACTGAATGGATTCTAATGAAACTTTTCAATAATATACCTGATACAACAGAATAAGACAGAGACTATAGTTTATATAGATATTTTTATGTACATATGTCTTTCTGTCTGAATGTTACGCCTTCAGCCTATCTATAGATATATCTATATATAGCTATATATACTACGCAGACGTAGTCGTGGGTAGCAGCTAGTATTGATATAAATGAGGAAACCATTAATAATACGGGTGTAGATGGAAATTTATGGATAGAAGTATGTATATAATACAAGGCGAAAAATGGTTCAGTCTATTAGTTAAATTCGTTGCTACATTACGTGATGCGTGTTTTTCGTTGTAAAGACATATTGTTATATTTTTTGTGATCGCCTACGTCGTTCCACCAATGTTTGTTTTAACGTGATGTGTGGAGAGCGCCTGATAACCTCAAGGACATCTTGTGGGAAACTATCACATAAAATTAAATATAAATATGATAATTTAAAACTATACTTCACGGTGGTTGATAAATTTAAGTATCATTAAACATTCTATGTATCATTAAATAATAATGATACTGGTCTGCCTATTTGTCGATTATCAAATTCTCAGATTTTTAGCTCCTTCATCATTGTAAATCAAATACATTAAAAATAACAATTACGTACAATGGACGGCCTTATTACTTAAATAAATTTCTTCCAGGCAACCTTTCGATGGACAAAATATTTAAAGAGCATTTCAGGGCTACATACTTTGTCATAAAATAAATAAGTACTAAACCTAAATGGAATATTAAAAACAAACACAATTTCACGTAAACACTTTACCTTTAGATGAAAACACTACAGGAAATAATTTTAGAAATAACTTTGAGTCGCGACTGTCATATAATTAGTTGCTTGCACTTTTATATAGTGAGCGCGAGATAATCTCAAGGATGTCTTATAATTGATGACAAGAATTTTGGTGAGATTCATAAAAAATTGCCTTGGAAACTAAATTCTGTATTCTTGTTAAAATCGCATATTTTTGAAGCGAGAAGAGTATGCGATAATTAATAATTGGCTCACTACCTAAATGTTTTGTTAATTGTTAGAAAACTTTGCAGGAACCCAGAACATTCAATATTTAAAATTAAATCAGCTTCTGCTGTTGTACGCATAGGCATTTTTTGTGTAAGAAGGAGGCAAACGATCTGGCGATTCCCCTGTTGTTGAGTGATAACCGCCGTCCATTAACATTTAAAACGTCCGTAGCGCTGCTGATGCGTTGCTACCTTTTAATAAAGTGGGCCCCGGCTACCTCACTCACCAGACGAAACGCAGAAGTATAACGCTTCCACTTCACGCCGACGTTCTGTGAGGTCGTGGTACTTAACCAGCGGATCTGCCCATTCGTGCGTTGAAAAGATTGTTGCGTGGCTCTACCATCAGCTCGTTCGGGGAAATAACACGGTCAACAGGAGACCGTCTTGTAGCGTAAGTGTTACTCGTTCGCGTTTCGTACTGTGAGTGATGTAACTGGGTCCCGATATAACTGGCATTTGTGTTAAAGATGTGCATGGGCGGTCATCATTCCACATATCAGGGGAATCAGCTGTTCACTAGCAGAGTTTTCCAATAAAAAAATAACCGCTCACCTTAAAATTCAGGACTCTTCGGGAGAATAATTTTAGAGATAGCTTTAAGCCGCGACTGCCTTGTCAGTGGTTGCTTGCACTTTTATATACCCTAGGAAAACAACAACAAGAAATACAAGTCACGCTACATCATGAGAATTGAGAGGATGAGAGATTATTATAAGATCAACATAACATTATGTAGCTGTTGGCACGGAGTTTCCCGTGGGGTCAATTTAATCTTACACAGCCTGTGGTCTCAATTCTGCCTACGGACAAGAATGAGATAAAATAAAATATGTTTTGAATTGAATAATTTTGTTGTTTTTTATTCTAAACAAAATCCTTGCTTTATTTTTAAACCATTGATGACAATGTACTCGCGGAGTTTGTCTCGTGACCCATCGTGAAAAAGTTTTATTTATTTTATTTATTTATTTTAGTTATTTAATCTTTATTGCACAGAAAATTGTACAAAGGCGAGCTTAATGCTATATTGCATTCTCTACCAGCTAACCCTAGGTAGAACAGAAACAAAATGTCAAGGGCAGTAAAGTAGTTATATACGATACATAATTAAATAAATAATATGTAATAATTAGGTAATAAATCTAAAAACTGCCAACGTAAACATATATATAAATATATATACATACATACAAACTTATATATAAATATACATACATACATATACACATAAATACATTTCAGATGTTCATACATAGTAAGTACTATTAAGTAGCTAAGACTCAGCAAGGATATGCTCAAACAGTTTTCTTTTAAAAGTTCCTTGCAGACTTTAAAAGTTAAATTTATTTTTTATTATTTTTCATATACAGAGTGGCCGAGTACATGTTTTTTTTATAATACTGTTAGAAGATAGGAGGGTAGTAGCACACTGCGACGTCCTATTAACGGAGCAGTGCTCGCCGTGTCACGGGACTTTCACATCAGCCGTTGTAAGAGTGCGGTAGCTCTACCCGAATTAATAACGATTGTGTCGGTTACTTAGAATTGTAGTGAAACTTCTGTTAAGTTTGGTCTACTGGCCAACAAATTCTTTTAAAAAATCAGTCATCGTTTCTATTTCCTAATAATGCAATATAAAAAAAGAAAGACTTTCAAGTGAAAAAAAATATTCTTACGATACAAACTGGGTAGAGATCTCTCGTGTCCTGTATATTTTATTTACCATTTTGAGCTGTGTCAAAATTAAAAAAAATTCGTCAAAATACAAACTTTATCGACTGCTGAAATTAATTAAGAGTTCTACGAAACATACGCGTCCTCATCGAATTAAGTAACAATTACAAAGACAATCGTTTGCGACGCTAGACATCAGCATTCTGACAGCGTTCAGTTTTCGCAAAGTCGAATTTGCAATTTCTAACTTGCGGTTTCCAAATCACATGGCGTGGATATATTCATTTTTGATTCACGGGATTTTTGATAGACAGGTTTAAGATAAAAAGCATATATGGTTGTATACGAGTCGCAATAGTTATTGGGACAGTTGTCTCAGTCTCAGAACCCTCGATTGCTCGTAGACGACATGCTATAAGTATATCCACAAACACCATAGTTCTTCCTCGCTTACGAGCAAGGCGAAACCATTGTAAGGTACACCCATATTCCAGGACGAATTAACCAAGCCCCGATTTACCGAGCACAGTCATCGGCCATCGGGGTCACGGTCCGCGAACCTCTATAGACCGTAGGCGACACTCCTTAGTTAACGCAAGCACTTTAGCGGCCCTACCCACTGTGGTGGGCCACACATACGTGGGCTCTGGCTAGCCCACGGGTTCTGCTTTCGATGAAGCTTTAATAGTCTACGGACTGAAATCGCTAACACCAGTTAAAACAAATCAGAAACATGTAAAGTGACAGGGGATCTTTTGAAGATTTCCCCCCC